AATGATCCTGAGCCCCCAGGTCCAACAACTCTTTTCCTTAAGGTATTTAGTTATAGTTAAGAAGTTTTTGTAACTTTGCCTCCTGTATGCTCTACAATATTCATGGATATATTTACAGCACATGTACATACATATGTAGACATATTCTCAGTCAAACGTATATATTCATGGTTGTTGGTGTCAAGTTGATTCAGAATCATAGCGACCCTCTGTAGGGTTTCCGAAGAGCAGCTGGTGAGTTTGAACCACTGACCTTGGGTATATTGTTGTTGTTAAGTGCCATCGAGTTGGTTCCTACTCATAACAACCCTGTGTAGGATTTCCAAGGAGCAGCTGGTGGGTTTGAACTGCCAATTTGGTCGTTCACAGTCCAGTGCTGATCCTACAGTGTCATACCAGGAGTTCCATTCTTGTTCACCCCTGTTCAGCTGTAGTATATATATCCACTTGTTAATTATTGTTATTACTGTCATTGTAGGACTTGGTATATAATAGTATTTACTTATTTTGCCTTTAACTCTCTCATGAGTTTTTAAAGTCAAAATTAATTTAACTCATATGTCATTTGTGGTGGTGGTGGTTAGTACCATCAAGTCAATTCCAACTCATAGAGAACTTATATAGGGTTTCCATTGTAATGGGTTTGAACCATTGACCCTGTGGTTAGCAGCCCAGTACTTGTCCTATAGTGCCACACATTTGTGAAAATTCGTATATTATAGGCTTTGGGACCATTCCTAGCAAATCCATTTCTCTCAAGAATCTTCTCATCCTTAAACTCTGGTTGGGTCTGGTGGCAGGTAGGTGAATAAGTAATCCATAGTGGTGGATTAGCCCAAGGTTTGCTTAGGTAGTAGGTGGGTGTTGAATTTAAGTAAGGCTAGGCACAGACTGGGATAATAGATTGGAGATCCTCTCCAAGCCTGGTAAAACAGAGACTAAGGATGGGCTCAACCCTAAAGGCAAGCTGCAAGCAGTTACTGGTTGGTCACTTACTTACTGTTAAGTGGCATCTAGTTGGCACTCATAGTGACTCTGTATAAAGTTCCCGAGGCTTTTAAATCATCGAGGGAACAAACAGCTTTATCTTTCTCCCAAGAAGCAACTGTCAGGCTCAAACCACAGACCTTGTGGTCCACAGTCAAGTGCCTACCATGTGGAGCCACTGTGCTCCCGGTTGACCACTTAGACTAATTCTAATTCTTTTTCTCCTCCCCTCTTCCTCCATCATCTCCCCAGCCTTGCTAGTCTGTTTCTGTTATATCCCTGTTTCACTTTCAACTCAAAGTCTGCCTTCTCTAAGTAATCTCCAGGAGTCCTCCAATTGAAATTAGGTTCACCTTTCCCCCTATTTCTTTAGTACTTTGTACTTTAAATAATTATTAACATTTGCCTTGTAGTGTAGGTACTTATGTATGCCTCCCTCACTAAGTTATTAGCTTCTACAAGTCAGGAACCCACAGTGCTTATAATAGCGCTTTACACGCTATAAATTCTCAGTTAATGTTATTGAAATTCTTCATGCAGAGTAGCTATAATGTTCAGTCCTGAATTGACTGACCTTTAGTCGCTTTTTTGGGTGTACATAAGCTTCCTGATTATGTTTCAACAGCACTCATAAAATTACCCAATATATTATATATATACCCATATTGTTTGTACCTGTGTGCTATTGTAAAGGTGAGGCTCTGTTACAACTTTAGACTGGACTTATATAAACTTTATATGCAATCTTTTTTTATAAGTACCAAAAGTTTTTGTGCTACTTTTAAAAAACAATCAAATACAAAACAAGTAAAATAAAATTAAGAAATGAAGGTAACGACTCATGCTGTGAGTTAATGTTATGTATTTAAAAGTCATTTTGAACCACAAAGTCAGTGGTTCAAGCTCACCAGCCACTCCTTGGAAACCCTATACAGGGTCACTGTGGGTTGGAACCAACTCTATAGCATTTAATAACAACAATATTAATCAGTTGGTTCATTCCAATGTCTGGTATTCCAGTTGAATACAAGTATAGTTGTAATAAAAAGCAGGAGTTTTTCAAAAGTCCTGACAGTTGTCTTATGCTGTTTTCAAATAACAAATTATGTACTTTGTCAGTTGCTATAACTTGGAAACTTCATAGGAACAGTTTTACTATTTTATTACCTGAAATTGTTTTAACCATTTCTGTGAACTTGTTTGATCAAAAGAAGTAATTTCTATAAGGTTTTGCTAAAATAGCCCTGATTTAGAATTGTGGATCAATTTTTCATATTCTTACCTGCTTAAACTTATTTCTTTATGAACTTTTTTCTTGGGATGCTTCAAAAGCTAAAGTACTTAGTTCTGTGTATTTGGTTTTACTCAAAGCCTGAGTTCTAATTGTTGTTATTGTTAAGTGCCACTGAGTTGGTTCCTATTCATAGTGACCCTGTATAGGGTTTCTGAGGAGCAGCTGGTGAGTTTGAACCGCCGACCTTGTGGTTTAAACCCACCTTGTGGTTGAGTGCTTATCCTACAGTGCCACACCAGGACTCCAGAGCATTTTTTTTTCTAATACTAAATGAGTGGTGTTAATAAAAACTGTGCAGTGATCTCCACAAGCTATTTTACTAGGTGGAAAATAAGTAGTTTGTTGATATCCATAAATAGTGGATTTGTCTCTGTTAAATGTCACTAGTGCTTTTAATTATTTTTAGAAATCACAAGCTGTGACTGACAAGTCAAAATAATGAGATTCTTAAAATGACTTTCTCTGCTTTAGTATCAGCACCTCTCCAGTTCCTCCCCTCACCTCCACCCCATACGAGTATCTTAGTAAATTGTTCCTGGATATTAGTTCAGTTACAAACAAGCAAGGCTATCAGTAAGGAGCCCTGATAGTGTAGTGGATTACGAGCTGGGCTGCTAACCACAAGGTCAGCAGTTCAAATCTAACAATTGCTTCACGGGAGAAAGATGAAGTTTTCTGCTCCCATAAAGATTTCCAGCCTCGGAAACCCTGTTTAGGGTCACTATGAGTTGGAATCAACTCATTGGCACACCACCATCATCAGTCAATGCTGGGTTAGCTGAACCGATTTCAGAGGACATCTTTGCAAATTGTGCTTGCCTATTTGTTTTTTTATAAATGGTAAAAAAAAAAACTTAGAGTTCACTTTTTATGTTTCTATATTATTTTATTGATGTCAGTAAAGAAAATTAAATATGAAGTAGACATGTTCTCCAAAAATTAACTTTGAAAAAACTTTTTGTATATAATTAATGTATTTTATCTCTAAGGTTAAGATTATATTGTCAGTGGGTAGCTGGAGATCAAGTAAAGGGAGAGACATGTTATATATGGACTGCTATTCAGTAGGTTACTGTTGCCAGTATAAGTGGATCTTGGGGAAGAAAAAGGGTTTCCCTCCTATTCATTCTGCCAAGGCTACTTCACTTCTTCCTTCCATAATTCCCACCTCTTTCATCAAGAACATTTGAACTACTAGAAGTAAAGGAGCCTAAATATATTTTATGTATTTCTCCTTCCTCTCTCTCTTTTAAATTAACTTTTTAAAATTAACTTCAATAGTTTCATCTTATGTTTCATGTAGTGAGGTACTTAATAAATGTTACTTATCTTGAATTGGCCTTTTTCCCCCTAGACGTGCTATGAACATGTAACCACCTTAATGTATGGGTGACTATGTCAAGAAGTAAAAAAATAAATAAATAACAGCATCTAAAGCTGATGATTTGGGATCATGGAGGGATTCATAAAGTATTGATCTATTTGGGTTTATAAACTGTCTCCATTGCTTGAGGCAGATGTCAGCTGAAAGCCTCAGCTCATGTTGTATTCTTATCCGGCAAGTCCCAAGACCCCAGACCCCTTTTGGAAATTATTCCTCTTCTAAAAAACACTTGAACTTATAAACCAGTTTGCAAAAATGTATCTTGCTGGTCTCGTCTTCTTTCAATGCTGACTAAAGGTGAGGGGAGAGAGGCATCATAATTAAATCAAATTTATTTCTAGTCTAAAAATCTTTGACAATCTTCATCTGAAAACATTGAGTACTTAAAAAAGTTTTTAAAAGTAATTTTACCTGAAGGACAGGTAAAAACAGTAAAAAAGTAGTTGAACAATTTCTTCTTCCTTATTCAAATACATGAAAAGAATGTCAGAGCTGAAAGTGGTCATTTGGAGAAACATTTAACTGGTAATTTTTCTAAAATAGTCATCCACAAATGAATTCTTGATGTTATTTCCAGATACCATTTAACCTTGAGGTATTTTCAAGTTTTGAGTTGTATTTTGTTTGTTTTTGTAAAAACATTTGTCATGTAATGTTTCTAAAATTTCATGTATCATTCTCAAACTATTATCAGTAAGGTCACCTCAAGCTGTCAATCAGGTTACACTGTCCCAAAGAGCTCACAGGTATTCTCACAGTGGCTTGTGAAGCCAGTTGTGGGTTTTCCACCTCTGTAAGGAAATACTCATAACTAGACATTTTTATACCTAGAATAATGGTCAAGAGTGGTGAAGTTTTCTTTGCCATTAAGGGCAATATTAGTATTATTGTTAAGTGCCATCGAGTTGGTACCGTCTCATAGCACATAACAGCAACTAGCACTTAACCAACTCACAGCACTTAACAACCAACGGTATAAGGTTTCTGAAGAGCAGCTGGTAAGCTTGAACCTCCAACCTTGTGGTTCAAACCAACCTTGCAGTCCAGCACATTAACTCACAGCGCCACACCAAGACTCCATATTAGTATTGGGAACTGGAAATAATGAGCGATCCAAAGAAAACATTTACCAAATTGGTACTTCATCACATGGTTAGGCTTCCTGAAAGGGTCACTGTCACCGTAACCATCTTCTGGGCTGTTCTTTTTTGTTTTGGGGTTTTTGTTGTTGTTTTTTTTTTAAAAAAAACAAAACAAAAACCAACTGGTCAAATTAGTGACTACTGCTGGCAAGTTGAAAGTTTGCATTTCCTGACATCTTTTACTTCTGTTTAGATGATGGACCATCTGGACTATGCAACAAATGAAGAAAACCACGTGATTGCTGGTGAACAAACTGTCCAACAATAATACTATATGGACCTGCAATAATGTGTCATATATTTTCTACACATAGAGTTAGACCTTTAAAATCAACTTCTGAATTGACAATCTAAAAGAATCTTCAGTAATATGCTTGCAAATATATATATTTTTATGAACTGGTACTGGCAGATTACAGCATAAATGATTAAAATGCATTTGCTTTTAACTATGTTATAGTTGTGCCTTTATGGTAAATAAAACATGGTCTGAGTAATTTTCAACATTACAAATTATATGCAGTATATTTTTTTAAAAAGGAAGCATTGGCCCACTTTTACACTTTCTGACTGAAATTTACTTCTTTTAGTTCTGTTAGATAAAAATATTTCTGTCAAAGTTAGTTTTTTTAAAAAGATTTAACTGTTCATTATGCAGATATATCTGTTCTATAGAGATAACTGTTTGAGAACATACACGCAGCCAATTCAACAGTGTTATGAAAATTTGGACCTCTATATCACTGCAGAGATTAGGAATATGTAATTTGAGAATAGATATATATATTTTTTATAGCTTAAGTTAAAAGCTCTGGTTCTGTTTAAAATTGAGAACCTAAATTACTTTGGATTGCATATATATTACGTGAGAAAATACTTTCAGGTATTGAGAAACATAGTACAGAAGACTAATCACTAAGAGTCCATATATCCTGAAATCCACCGATTTCAGTGGTCTGCCATTTATTTCCTTAAAGATACGGTGTAATTTTCTCTTCTGGTGTTCAGTTTGATTATGATATACCTTTGAAATTTGTCCCTGTTGATGTCAGGTTTGGTATTTTTTTTAAAAAAGATTTTTCTTATCAAATTAAATATTGATGTATATGACTCATTGTTTGAGTCATAACAGTTTATCCCTCCACCTTCTTTTTCTTTTTTTTTTTCCTTGTTCTCACTCCCTTCCTTGTAGATAATCACTGTTAACTTTTTACTGTATCAGTGGAGGATGATTTACTAAATATACAGAGTGTGGTTCAGAGCAGAGAATTGGAGACAAAAGTCAAGAGATAAGGTATTAGTCTTACTTTAAGTATATAATACATGGAAAAGTTTGAGTAATTTGCCTTCGCATAAGACACTTATATCTCAACTTTCTAATTTGCAAAATGAGTAGGTTAGATAAATTGATCCCTCTGGTATCTTCCAACTCATAAAGTCTTTTACTCATTGTTTGCTAAGTCTTAGATGTGATCCTCAGCCTACTCTTAGGAGTTAGGTCAAATTATCTTTTACATTTTCTTTTATTCCCCTTAAGAAATTCCCAAAGGACAAGTGATTACATAGGCAGCAAGATTAGCATTTCTTTGTAAATAATACATAAAATATGTTAACAAATCTATAATCTCTCAAGCTAAGACCAGTCTAGTTTACTAGAAGATAAAGCTACTGTTTTTTTATATGGATCAAACCTTTAGTGCTTGAACTAAATTTAGCATTTGAGAGAGTTAAATGCTTTGGTGCATAATTGTTAACTTTTGCTAAGAATATTGCAAATAGAGAAGCTCATTTGACAGCCCATTTTCTACTTATTACACTTTGGCTCCTTTTACATTTATGACAAATGACTTAACTAACAAGTAAGAGTTAATCTTGCCTTCAGAATATCAAGTTTAATTTTTTTCCGAAGAGTCCAATTTATTTGGCAAATTCTAATAGAGGAAAGAACAGATTAAATGCCATTTTAAAGCTTCAACTATATTTTGATTTATAATATCAATAAAATGTTTGCCAAATTATAGCTTTTTTAGTAAAATTACCTCCCTCTCATTCCAACTTTATTGTATTTGAAAGCTTCAATTACATTTTATGAAGAATGTAAAAGAGAATTAACTATAATTTCTTTTTTTTTCCCTATGTTGAAGTAATATTTCTCAAAATAATTTGGTTTGTAACTGAAATAGTAGTTAGTTATTACTATTTTAATTTCTCAGTATAGGTTTGCTTCAGAATAGATTTATTACCTAATATACCTGGAAATATGAAAATGTGAGGTCTTTGATACAAATTCTATTATGTTGTTTGTGGAGTGCTGTAAAGTCTGGTTCCTAGCAACCCTGTATAGGGCTTCCGAGGCTGTAAATATATGCAGGAACAAGAAGTATCATCTCTCATGGAGTGACAGGTGGGCTCGAACCGCCAACCTTGTGGTTCACAGGTCACTGCTTATCCTACAGCCACCATGCTCCAAATTCAGTTATGTTGTTGTTAAGTGCTGTTGAGTCAGTTCTAACCCATAACGACCCGGTGTAGGCTTTCCAAGGAGTAGCTGGTTAGCTTGAACCGCCAACCTTGTGGTTCAAAGCAACTTTGCAGTCCAGCGCATTAGCCCTCAGCACCACACCAAGACTTCAAATTCTATTGTTGTTGTTGTTAAGTGCCTTCGAGTCGGTTCCGACCCATAGCGACCCTGTACAGGGTTTCCGATAGTAAACTATTAATTATCAAGGAAGAAAATATTATTCAAGATTTTAATTTGCCATTAAATCTTATTGAATAACTAGGAAGAAAAATGGAATTCTTAAATTTCTCCTTCTTTAATGTCAACTTTATATTGTATTCAATCCTCCTAGCAACCTAGCTGAAAAGAGTTATTTAGAGAAATTAAAATAAAGTACAGAAATACTGTATTTTGGAAAAAACAATAACAAAAAGGAGTAGGAAGCTTAAAATATGTCATTAAAAGGAGGTATTCTCTCTTTAAAACGTGGTATCCTCAAGCAAACAATTGTGAGGTTGGCCCAGGACCAGGCAGTGTTTCGTTCTGTTGTGCATAGGGTCACTATGAGTCGGTACCGACTTGATGGCACCTAACAACAACTGTCCTCTCTTTCTTTCTCTCTTTTCCTCAATAACTTTAAAGGGAAGAGAAGTTTGTTTGCTAAACATGCCTAAAAATAAGATAGTGGTGGTGGTGGTTGTGTGCCCTCAAGTCAGTTCCAACTAATTCATAGCAACCCTGTATAGAGTTTTCTAGGCTATAAATCTTGATCGGAGCAGAAAGTTTCATTTTTCTCCTGAAGAGCAGCTGGTAGATTCAAATTGCTGACCTTGCAGTTAGCAGTCCAATACGTAACCCATTTCACTACCAGTCCATTTGAAACTCAAGGTCAACGGTTCAAACCCACCAGCTGTTCTCGGAAATCCTGTGCAGGGGCGCTATGAGTTAGAACAGACCCAGTGTCATTTAACAACAACAACAGCAACATTGCCAAGAAAACCATTTTAATTTCTTTTTAGTTAGAAATTCCACATGAGCTTTCTGTAACTTATCAAATAAATCATTAAATATTTCAAATTAGTGTTGACTATTTTTACTTCCACTAAGTGAGCAAAAGATCAATATGTGTGTGAGGTTCTGAGGGGGAAAGCTGAATATTTTAATATATTTTCTTCCTTTTTTAAAAAAAAAAATTTACTTTTCAACAGTTGCCATCAAGTCAGTTCTGACTCATGGTAACACTGCATGTGTCAGAGTAGAACTTGTGCTCCAAAGGATTTTCAATGACTAATTTTTCAAAAGCTGATCATGAAGCGTTTCTTCTGAAGTATCTCCACGTGGGCTAAAACCTCCAGCTTTTTGGTTGTTCCACCCAGGGAATGCATATTCTAGCTTGTATAAAAATTTTTTTTTTTTAATTTAGCAAATCCTTTTTAGTAAAATCTGTAATTTCTTTCTTTTTTGAAGGAAGAGAATTCTAACCCATCTGCTGCTATGATTTATAGATTTCAGTTCCATGTCCATAGAAATTTTTATAAAATATACTTACATTGTTGTTAAGTGCCATTGAGCCAGTTTGACCCACAGTAACCCTGCATAGGGTTTCTGAGAAGCAACTGGTGAATTTGAACCGCCGTTCTTGCAGTTCAAACCAACCTTGCAGTCCAGTGGTTTATCCCACAGTGCCACACCAGGACTCCAGTATATTTACAGTAAATACAAATGAGCTTTCCAAGTTTTCCTTAGCTCTTTCCATTTCTGCCTTAGGTGTGATACTTGAAAAAAATACATGTTTATTTAATCTTGGTCCCTAAAATTCCATCCGTGTCTCAACAATGAGATTTCAAAAACAAAGGAATTGTATTTTAGTCTGGTGAAATATACTGATTTGAAAGGCTTTCTATTTTCCCATTAACATGGTAGCATTATTCAAGATGATGCCAGCTAACCTAGTCTACATTTAAAAAATGTTTCCAATGCTCCATTTACCTCAGAAAGGAACCCTGATGGCTTAGTGCTTAAGCGCTCAGCTACTAACCAAAAAGTCTGTGATTCAAACCCAGCAGCCACTCTCTGGGTGAAATATGTGCAGTCTGCTTCCAGAAAGATCACATCTTTGGAAACCCTATGGTCCTATGTAGAAAGGGTTGCTATACGTTGAAATTGCCTTGACTGCATTGGGTTTGTGCATTGTTTGGGGAGGGGTTTGGTTTTGGTTTTGGTTTTTATTTACCTCAGAGTATAATTCTAAAGGAGGTTGGGAGTGGTTAATAAAAATAAAATCAAAATTCTCTTTGTAAATCACGTTTTGCTTCCTGAAAAGAAGATACTCTGTAAAGTGAAGAGGTCTGAATCAAATTACTTAACCTTTTGGAATTTGATCATCTACTTTAGTACCCATGTTCTATCTAGATGACTAAATTTACAGAGTTAAAAATTGGCTTAACTGAGTATATATATGTATAGGCCATTTAAAAGTAAAGAGCATAAATGTAAATTTCCTCATTTAATGTTTCCATGCTTTAGGACAGCCTTTGTATTTATAAAGATGTTCATTGAGGAAAAAACTATTTTTAAAACATTTCTTAGCATATTCCTCCATTATTGGCAGCTATGGAGCAAATAACGGGGAAATATAAACAATTTAATCATGTCATGATTAGGGAAAAACCAGTAAACCACTTTTTTATTCCTTTGGATGTGATTTTTTTTTTTTTAATATTCAAAGCTTTTCCAATCAGAAAACTCAATGTAAATTAGGTAGTATTTTCATATTTTATGCCTCCTATTGTACTTTGTTCAGATGAAAACTTTTTAATTCATATGATTGAATTTTTATTCTTAGATGATTGATTTGAGTGTGTAATTCTTTTTTTAACATTTACATATGTAAGTGAGTGTAAATTAATACTTTTATAACACTACTAGGGATTATTTTTTTATGGAACATGATTTAAAGACTTAAATTTTTCAGATGTTAATTTAGCAATGCTTTAAAGTGCATTCATTATGTGCCAGTACTGACAAGAAAA